GGTCTTGATAGAACGTACAGAACATGCATACGTATTACTACATCAGGTAGCGATGTGTATGTTTATTTTTTTTTTTAATAAAACACCAATAAAACATGTGCACCATGCACATAGGTTAAGGAAATAATCATTTAAAAAGAGATATCGTTTAAAAAAGAGATATTAAAATATTTTGTTTTTTCTCTTACTCTTTTCAAAAAAACTATTATTACTACATTAAACTTTTTGTTTGAATCGATAGATTATGTATATATAATGGCACGATTTTCAACTGTCGTAAAATTCTTTAATATTGCATCGTATCTTTTACTTGCAACTCTTGTATCTGAGCCGGTAATTTTTTAAAAAAATAAAATAAATCATATTACATATTATATAATAATAATTCTGATTATACTTTATTTTAATCTCTTTCTATATTTTTAACAGGAGTTTAGATTTGAAAATCATAACAGTTACATACATCCGAACTTTTTCATTTTTTATTTCTGGAATCTGATCCATTGGTTACTTGGCTTCTTTCGTAATTATCATAATTTTTAAATTCCAAGATAACTCTTTAGTTATATAATAAAAACTAAACTTTTAATTTTTCATTCTTTAGTCGTTTACCAATTCATTGATGTGGCAAACGAAACAATTGTTGATGGAGTAGGATGGCACTTCGTTTGTGCTGCCTTATTAAATTCCGCGTGGCTTGTTCTTGTGGTAAATTTCATATAATTTTCATATAATTATAATAAATGACATAAATTACCATTATGAATTATATAAATATATTAATGCGTTTTTCTCTTTTTTTTTTTAATTTTAAAAAAAGGTATTTGATTACCTAATTTTAGCATGGCTTGCAATATTAATAGTATGCATTCAACTATCATTCATATACTATAACCTCAAATACAAATACCCAGCACAAAACCGATTTGATACATATTTTATACATTTACCATTTAATATATATCATTCTTGGATAATTATAATATCAGTAATAAGTTTATTTATATTAATAATTCCTGATAAAGATTTAAATTCTCAATTACCACCCGAAATTATTATTCAAATTTATTCTATTATATCTTTATTATTTTTGGATTTAGTGGCTATGGGGTACATTTATAAATGTAAAGGTGATTTGGTAGGTGCTGGTGTTATTGTAATTACCTTATTTGGTATTGCTTTACAACAAGATGACATGATCGTGCATTGGGTTTCATTAATATTTGGTATTAAAACTACTATAATTATGTTTCATTATTATATTAAGAATTATTTTAGAATAAGAGATGAACAAACTCCATTATTAGGTTTTTTAGTTTAAAAAAAAAATAATAATTTTTTTTTGTCGATATTAGAATAAAAACAAAAAACTTTAATACGTAGCATTTAAAAATTTTTACATATGTTTCAGGTTTTTTAAAAAAAATGCATTTTTGCTAACAAAATGACCCTTTAGGATTATGATTTGTTAACAAAATATTGTTAAACAAGTAGATTCTTATTTAAGTAGGTTATTATTACCAATAGATTATTGTAAACGATTTTTGTATCATTAATTATTTTATCTTGTATTTTATACTGTATTTATTTCATGAATTATTTTTGGTATTAATTAATAGATTCACAAAATTTTTATCAGAATCTAAATTATATTCAATGTTCTGTACACGTAGAGATGGCAAATATTTTAAAAAATAAGTTAAAATAATAATATTAAACTGATTTATAATTTTTTTTTTTTTGTTTTAAAACATCGTCATTGATATTGATACTATAATTCGCATATATGCAAAAAATAAAAATGTTATACGTACAACCGATGATAAACTCGAAATTAACTAATCACAGTGACAATTTCAGTCATCAGCGTAATAATTACCGATTGAGGGTGTCCTAGCATAACCACCAAAATCATTTACATACGT